CAATATGTCAGGAATGAGGGATATTCCCAGCAGCATGTGGACCATGTTGGACTTGTACTTGTTACTCTTCAGTGTCAGCAGCATCCTTTTTCTCCATGAAGGGTCGAACCAGCTGTTGAGCCGCATGTCATTGCTGATAAAGATGGCGTGAACCTAACAAATACAAACACCACACCAGTACAGTACAGAAGGAGATTTTTAGAGAAACTCCATCCACTAAGGAAGGCCACAGGATACAACAGGTCATGAGGTCAAGAAAGAACCTACAAGCTAACCTATCTTTTCAGCTATTTTTATGCCTACGCATTACTGCCATGGCGGGAGGCATTATTTTTTCAGGTTTTGTTTCTGTCCCATTCTCATGAACGTGATATCTGGTAAGCCTTGGGGGAATTTCTTCATATTTGGCACAAATGCCCACTTGGATTCAAACATGAGCTGATTAGGGGCACAGAGGCATGTGCATATAAGTTTGCACATTCAGACACACATCTGTCCCTATTTTTTCAAAATTTGTGTGCACTTGTTCTCTCTTTGGTTTGAGCCTTTCTGCCATTCATTCACTGTCAAGCACAGAACAATTTGTTGAAATTGTCTTTTATAAAAATACCACGACCTGGCCATTTTTCTGACCAAGAATTTTAGGAATGTTGTCAGAGCTGCTGTGGCTTCTTTACAAACAGGACTTCAGAGCCCTGTGAGAGAACGGTATTTCAGCTGTCGGTTTGCCAGGCTCTGGAGAGCAACTTTGAAGGATAAGAAAATAGTTGAGGAAATTGAGGAGGGTTGTGTGAAGACATCTTGAACACCCTGAGGTTTTAAAAGGGGAAGCGCCACTGTCGTGCGTGAAGTTGAATATGAACAACGTACACCAGTGCACCTAGCGCTCTGTGTAGGTGTGTGTGTGTACTTATGCATATGTAACAGCGTGTGTCTTCCTCCAAAGTTATCAGTCCACAACCAGACTGCTCATGGCCTGGGAATAAGAGGCTGCTTTAGAAGTCTGCATTTCTTTATAGCTTCAGATTCATAGCTTTATTGCTGTTTTGCTGTCATGTGCAAAAGAAGGTAGATGGAATTTCCTTGTGATTTGGCCTTCACAGCAGACAGCACTTTCATAACCCTGTACAGACTTCTCATACCTTTATATACTTACTTTTACATGATTTTGTTCTGAGCTTCACAGAGGCTCCTAGCGGAACAGATTCTTTTACAGACTTTTTGTCTGTTTCTGGAACTTTTAGGATGAGTATAAACTGCAGCAGGTAAATTAACTTTTAATATTAGTTGCATTTCCAGTTCTGCATCCCAGCACAGGTTAATAAGTGGTTTTTACTGGACCTTTTTAAAGAACAGGTGGAGCTAAACTAGGGGAACATGATAGAGTAAAAGAAATAAAGACATCTTGGCTTGATGAGAGTCAGACAGTCCCTGTGTTATTGATTGCTGATAGGGGTCTACTGCTGTGATTGATGTTTGCCAGGTCTGATTTAATTAGTTTGTACTTAACCAGGTCAACACAGAAGGACGGAGGAGGACGGAGGACTGACAAAATAATAACAAAGTATTTTCTAGCCTTATTTCAGGAGATTGTGCGTCCTAATGATCGAGGCCATTTGTTATAAATATAAAATGCTTTTGCCATTCTTCACTCACATAGTGTAAATCAACAAGAAGTGGAAAGTGAGTAATGCTTTTGCTTGTGTTGTAGTAGAAAAAGCAGCAAATCTTTGTAAAGCTAAAACCAGCTAATGTTTGCAAATGTTGCTCAGTTTGGGGTGAAGAAGTCTCTGTCCATCAGCCATCATAAATCTTAAAGACTATGATACGTTCATGCATTATACCATCCCCCCCCCCCAGTCTGGCTTGCACTGTGTACAAAATAGCTATGAAGCCAACCTCTGTAATAATGTTCTGGAAATTGGAAGGAGAGTGAGAATGTCTGACTCGGTGCTTGAAGAACCTCAGCAGCAGCCTGCGAACTGTGAAATTAGCATTTATATTGTGCCTCATGCAAACTCAAACATGAACATGCATAGATGTTACATTAGCCCAGTGAAATGACATATGCGCCTTTTTTAAAGAGTTAATGAGCAGATGGACAGATTTTCTTTTATAAAGTACTACAGTATGGCCGCTAACTAGCTGAAAACCTGAGTGACTGTGAGCCAAGATACATACAATTTGTTTTCTTTTCTACTTTTAAAATGTCAAAGCTGACAATATAGTTTTAAATGCCATGAAAAGCTAAACCAAAAATGTTTTAGTGTTTCAGTTTTCTACTGATTTCCCCAGCTTATCTGTGGCTCTCAATGCCAAGCCTGATTGTTCCTCCTGAAGGTGGCATTTTTAACACCTGATCATGAATATTAGGTTTTTTGTTTATTTGTTTGTTTGTTTGTTTTTAAAGCTTAATTATTTCCTCAAAGAGCTGGAGCATTATAGGTTCCAGGAAAGATGACTTGTTTCAACAAACACCCAAACAAAATATCTTTACAGTACATCAACGAGTGTTTTAACCTATACAACCGATGTGGTCATTTGTCCCTTCCTTCTCAATAAGACCCGTAGGAGCAGCTCCTGAAATAGCGCTCCTACGTTGGCAGGCGAAATTACAAGAACTCCGCCAACATTAATAACAACATATGTCACACTAGCAAGCTAGTTATGTCGACAGCCCTAAACAGGATGGCAAGTGTACTGGAACATTTTTACGGCCTAACACCTAACCCATGTTTTCTGGTTGTCCATCCATATTCTCTTCAATGTGATATCTCAGGAATTCCTGGAGGGAATTTCTTCATATTTGGCACAAATGCCCACTTGGATTCAAACATGAGCTGATTAGGTTTTGGTGATCAAAGGTCAAGGTCAGTGACCTCATGTCTGTCCCATTCCCCATGAATTTGACTGATTGGCAGAGGCCACAACCACAACGCAGTACCTATAGTCATTTTAGACGCAGCAATGATGTCTGGTGGTGCCGATCAAAAAAATGTGGACATGCTGAAAAAAGTAAATTGTGGATTTGTTTTATGTGGCATCCTCCTTCATTGACAACTAAGCTATACCAAGCTTGAACAGATCAGTAAAGAGATTACACAATCACTATCCTTATGCTTTTACATACTCATGCAGTTCACACCTCTGTTTTTGCTTTTGTAATGCACAGGGGTCTTTTGTCACTGTACAGCATGTCTGTTTAATGTCTGTTTAACTACAAACCTGGTTAAATAAATTGAATCCCTATGCAGATTCTGAGTGAGGAGTTACACAGACAAAGTCGATCAGTTGTCACTTTATTCTTTTTCTTATCACAGCAGAGCAGGAAACTGTTGGTTCCACTGCCCAGTGATGCAGCAAGAAAGAGGCAAAGCCGTTCAATCCCGTGTTAGAGTAATCTGAGCCCCCACGCTACGTAGCTACAGGTGGAACCAAAGGGTTGCTATGCCGGCGAGACAAGTCACGGTAACCTGACGATCACCGAGTTTTCAAATGTTTCAGTGCAGCTACTATTTGTGTCTTTCACTGTGAGACAGATCGATCCCTAGTCAACCAGCTACCTCAGATATGTTCAGCTGTGAGGATGACAAAGCAATTTCACATCTGTTCTGGTTCTCAGAATACAGCAGCACAAAATTACTGCTCAGTCTTTACCCACCTAAAAGCTGTAACAGAATGGCTCTTGCACAAGACTCTGCAGTGAATTACACACACCCTGTTGTAAGCATTTATGTTAACACAAGTTGGTGACAAAAGTACAAAAACCGGTGTCGTTAAAAAAACACTTATCTGCAACAAAACTTTTATCTGCAGCAATAAAGAGGAAGAGAACTCCATTTTCCTGTTGTTTATTTTTAAAAAATGGAGCGTGTCAGCAAAAGAAAACACTTTCACTAGTTAATCATTGTTATCTGATGTCATGTTGCCAAACTAAGTTGGTTTTATCTAGATTCACAAGCTGAGTGCAGGGATAGTGCAACAGCAAAGTGCTACATAACGTTGTCTTTTTGATGATGTAGTGGAGCCTGAGCACACCAGTCTGACACGTGCATTATTTGAAAAATTGCACAATAAGGAAGGTTCCAAAATACATCACTGCAGGGCTCTTTAAATCCTCCTGCAACATCAACTAAATGACAAAACAAGACATAAATAAACAGACAGCCAAACTGAGTGTTGGTTCTCTAAAAGACAGGTTGTAAATAGATGTGTGTTTGGTTGTGTGAGTGTGTGTTGCTTCTGCTTCTTTTCCTTTTTTGTGAGATAGAACAGATTTTAGATTTTAGTGCCTGGCTTTGCTTCAAATCCACAAAAATCGGTTTTTATTGAAAGCAGTTAACCTGATGTGAACTGTGACCTCCAAACAACATGTGGAATGCTTCTGCCATTCTTCCTGTGAAAACTTTAGTTAGGTTCACTAAAGCAATCATTAAATATTTAAAGGGACACACCAACAGATTAGTATTACATTTAATGTTGAGGAGGTTTTCAAGAGACATATTTTTAAAAATCAAAACAACAGACTCTGATAAATGTCCATATTTTTCAAACTCTACACTCCAGCTTTGTAGCTTAAAGGTGCAGTGTGTGAGATATTAATGAAAACATAATTATGTATAGTATAGACAATTTTGCTAATAAATCCTTCTAAAACTTTAAGCTTTCTGCTAAAACTCTGTAGTCTCAAAGCCCAGGCTAAAATAATTGGGATGCCACCATCAGAGCTAATTTTCAGACTTTGAAAGCTCCCTCCACCTTCACAGAAGGCTTTTCTATTTTCACAGACTGAACAGAACTCTCTGTGGCAAGCACTGAATTAGGGTCAACTGAAAATTACTATAGTGCTCTTTTAAAAGTATATTATCGATCCAGTGTGAATGTCCTGCACTGTACAATATGTCAGTACCTCTGGACTATTCCTGCTTTGTCAAACTACTGTTTAAAAATAATCAGGTGGAGATGAACTGTCAGCAATGGAAACCATGTGTGTTTTTCAGGAGAATCCATATGTGATGCTGCGGCAGAACCACCAAGAACTGGAGGGAAATGACCGCTACGAAGGCTTCTGTGTGGACATGCTGAAGGAGCTGGCAGATATTCTCAAGTTCAAGTATCGCATTCGGCTGGTGGGGGACGGACTATACGGGGTTCCTGGAGCCAACGGAACATGGACTGGCATGGTCGGAGAGCTCATATCAAGGGTGTGTAAATACTCTATATACACATGGACAAACTGTAGTGTAGAGGCACACACGTACAGCTCGCAGCTCTCATACACTGTAGTTCACAGTTAGCAGCTTTCCGTCAAGTCATACACTCTTGTTTTCATTCATGACTTGGCCTTTTCAGCCTAAGCATTGTATTTTCCAAAGAAGTCATGGCTTGTTGGTGGCTTATTCCCTGCCAGCTCCTTTCCTGAAGCCCTCTGAACTGACCTTAACAGACTTTCCTCCTGAACTGGTCTGTGTTGTTGCTGTTAAATCTCTGAGTGAGGTCTCACACTCTTCCAGCTATGCTATGTGTAACTGTATGAGAGCTGAGGGGAGAAGAGAGGGAGGGAGGAAAAGAAGATAAAAAAAAAAGTGAGCAGGATGCCTGCGTGAGGATGAGGAAAAAGGGAATGAAGTCGGGAGTGATTGAGTCGAGCTTAAGAGGTGATCTGTCTTAATTCTGTGGGCTAATGAAGGGCAAAGCCATTAAGTATGTAATACAGGCAGTGCCTGCTCTTGTTATTGTCTGCTGTCATACCCCTATAAGTTGCCTGTAGAAAGCTGACCCTGTAAAAGGATGTGGTCAACATCGACATTTGTCTCTGATAGCAACTTGAGCTGTAGAGTGTCAAGGTGGGGTAGGGGTCACAAAAAGTCTAGATGTGCTTGAGAGGGATTTGTCATGGGATGGGGGACATGTGGAGGGATGTTCCGCAGTGAACAGAAAGCCTTGAGCTTGTTTGGCCAAAAGCTTAGAAGGGAATGGGACAGAATGCAGAGTGAAAAGATGTGGTGGTTACAAGTTTAATGGAGAAGATGAAAGGGTATGAAATATACACTCGGTAGCAGCAAAGGAGAACAGCCTGAGGTTATCCCAGACAACAGATACCTGTGTCCCTGCCAGCACCTTTCAGCCTGAGCAATATTTCACTGTATGAGGGTAATTAAGTTGACATGTGTCAGACAGCCTGAGCTAACAATGAGTAAGGCCAGGAGGAATCAGACCAAAGTCTATGTACAGCACTGTATGCCCTGGTGCTTAATCCACAGCGCTGCACTTTGAGGATACAGCATCTACTCTTGAATTCAAATGCTAGATCCTAGAGGGTAATGTTTAATTCATGCCTTCCATTCACAAGTTTTATTTTGTTTTGCTTTGTTTATACTGGGTTAGCATGATATGATTGAAGACAAAATGAAAACAGGTATGATGCAATATTGAATAGTCGGCATTACACAGTGTTTTTTTCCAGTTATACTAGAAGGCAGAACAGCGGGCAGGCAGAGTAATCCAGTAATCAATATTAATAATCTATTAACATAAAACTATTTCATAGGCTGTTACAACTGTGTGTTCATTTTTCAGCAAGTGTTTTTGCTGAAATTGCCTGGACAGTCATTCCCTGTGCACAGCTTACTTCCAGCACTAGGAGCAGGCCATTAGACTTTCAAACGACGCAGCAAAAAAAGATGAGGTGGAGGCTGGGGACGGCTGATGATGGAGGGTCAAAGCCTGTGGGCCGAGGATAGGGCAGCAGGAGACATTAGGCCTCAGTGTGCAGTTTATGCTGTGGCAGGGTTTAAAGAGGTGGAAATTTTAGGTGTGATACACTAATTAAAGCACAGACAGAGCAGGACTGAGGCTTTTACAGTAGGTGAAGCTCTAAATGTCTACTGGTAGCACTTTGGACCAGTTCTAAAGGTTAGAATAATTCTGAGAAAAGCAGTTTCATTTTCACATCATGTCCAAATTGATGTATATCAGACACCTCTTTTTGTCTCTCTTCTCTTGACATACAAATAATGTGTTTTGGATTTTGAGTGGCATCTGTAGCACTGCATCGGAGCTTCCCTCTCCTCGCTCTCCTCCTCCCATTCTTTTCCATCTCCTCAATCCTCTTAGTTCTCCTGCTACAGACAAAGAGCAACGCCTTGCTGCTTTCACTCCTCTCTCCACAGGGAGATGAAAAATCCCCTGCAGTTGCACTTTGCTGGCCTGTATTATTAGTAGAGAGCCATCCAGTATTCGGTGTACATTGACCATTTCCTATGCGTGTGTATATATGTGTTTCCCTCGATATGTGGTTTACCAGCCACTGCTTGGTCAAGTGATTTGTCTTGACAGTGCTCCCTTGGCTGGCGACAGTGGTTACCCTGAGCTCTCTTGTGCCCAGCACACACAAACGCACACACACAGTGCCACTGCATGGGTTATCCTCAACACATATAGCGCTATTGGTGGACACAGAAGCAAAGGCATTATTAGAGAATTATCAACTAGTAGCCAACTGTCATTTCATCCTCGTCTATTATTATTATTATTATTATACTCTTATGTCATACACTTATGTCCTCACAGCTGTGTTCAGTACATCTTTCAATGTATGTCTCTGACTGTGTGTTTACATGAAGCAATACTCCTGTGTTTCAGAAAGCTGACCTGGCAGTCGCAGCCCTCACCATAACAGCAGAGCGGGAAAAGGTCATTGACTTCTCAAAGCCTTTCATGACCCTTGGCATCAGTATCATGTACCGCGTCCACCTGGTGAGTAACTGCCCACACACACATCTTACCGATCGAAGTGGCTTTCATACAGCCTGTGGACATATCGCAGTAGGCGGTCAGTCTTGTCTAATGGCTGTAAAAGAACCACTCTCCCTTTAGGTCTCTAGAGTCTGTCTCTCTTAGTCTAAATCCTTCCACAAAATCTCCTCCTTTGCACTTTATCGCCTCCTTTATCTCCCAGCTACTCAATTTCCTGGTCAGCCGTGTGTTTTCATGGCTCTGCCAGCCTCTCATCCAGTCTTTAGTCTTGCTTTCTCAATTCTTCGTTATCTTGCCAACATTTTCCCCCTTTCTCCCTGCAGTCTCAACTTCTCAACAGGGTCCAGTTCTTTTCACTGTTTTGTCACCCATTTTCTCCTCCCGGTGCTGTGGCCACCTATTCTGCCAGCATCAGATGGCATTTTTTATAGTGTGAACGTCCTGATGATTGTAGCAGCTTCACAGTTGTTTTCTGTTTGCCCTCTGATTGGGTTTGTCCATCTTATTCACATAAGCAACACTTTCCGTGCTCCTCAGAGAGCAAGCCAAAGCAGGAAACAGTGAAACAACAGCAGCGCAGGTGGAAGTGAGCCAGTGTCTGAAGAGTCGGCAGCCCATTAATCATCAACCCTCCCCCAAAATTCATGGTGACACAAGGGGGCCCATTATAGCACTGGCCCCAGTCTGCACTGAGACAGTTTGGCACATGTGTGAGCTAACATTAGTGTAGTATCCCAGAGGCGTGTTTACTCACATTCTCTCTTGCTTCTGCCTCTCCCTTCCTGTGAACCTCCCTCATTCTCACCTTCCTGTAGTCTGTGCACAGTGCTAATAGGTGTAGCAATGAAAGACTCACCTGAGTCCCAATGGCGAGAATCAATCAATGCTTGCAGCATGTGCCCTGTCAAATGTGCCGCTGGGTAGCGTATCACCTCTGATATGTGCTGGATGGCAGCATGACGAGGTGGCATGGAACTGATGTCCCTCGGAGCTGGCACACAGAGTTGACTAAGCACAGACTTGACCCAGCTGATGCCAGATTCCTAGGAAGGGTGTCAATAAGAGGGAAATGAGAAAGGCAGTTTTAATTGAGGTAAGGTGTATGGGGCTTTTGATAAAAGGAGAAAGAGAGAGAAAAGAGAAAGATGCACGATAAGAGGGGAAGTGAGGACAGGTGTCCTCTCTCTCTTCATCCCTCAGTCCCTCACGCTGTCTTTAATCTACCTTTGCCACATGGCATTTTCCACAGATCTGACTTGGAGTGGTCCCTCAGTATGGCTGTGAAATTCAATATTTGAAATTCTGTGACTGCACTTGTTTAGTTCTAATCCACTGACTATTGATCTGAGGCACAGTGGTTTCTACAAAGGGGGTTTGTTGCTTATTTCAAACTCTAAATAAAAATTTCAATCTGATCAGTAAGAATGGCAACAGCAATAAAATAAAAGTGCCCTCTGGGTATTAATTACCCTCAGACTATTGGCTGTTTAATCTCCATGTCTCCTCTTTGTCACTATGTAGACATCTATCTGTCTCTCCCTCTTTCACACACACACACACACACACACACACACACACACACATTGTTATTATTTCTATTTACTGAGGCTGTGACAGTTATTCACATTCTGAGCCAATAACAACAGCAATACCAACAATATAGTAAAAGACATAATCCTGTTTTGGCAAAATTACTCCTCTGTATTATCAAGCTGCTTCCCATATATCACTGCCCTTAAGCCCTATTCAGACCGGGTAATTTGATCTTCTGTACAAAACAACAAAAAGAAATAAACCTAGACTGAACCACCACTGGCTCCTCCAGTCTACAAGCTGTCAGTAGTGTGTCAGTGCTTTACACTACACAAAAATGGTGAGGGATCTGAATCTCTGGAGGGATCTGCTGTGTGATTTTCAGGACACTGCATTGAAATAAAAGACATAGAAACAAATCTCACACAATTTATAGCTTGACTCTACCTGTCTTAGGTGTTCCAGCTGTCTTGCCTGACTATTTTGTAGCTGGTTGGGGATTTGTAGGTATCTCCTGTACATGTCATGCAGTATAGTGTATGCTATAGTGAATGTCTTTTGAGACATGCATGTGGTTTGCTTTTACAAACAAATAAAAAGCACAAGTTCATCTCAGCAGCCAGCAGAATGTGTCACTCCTGCCCTGAATTAGCATCAAAGTTATAAACCCAGACACAACCTAAAGCTACTGTCAACATCTTCGCATAAAACCCTTGCCTCCCACCACATTCATCATCTGCACAACAGAAAACCATATGCTGCAATCCAAGATCCAAACACTTTCAGTGCGAGTTCATCATTTAAAAATGTCCTTCATTTTGGGGGGCTGTGTGTGTGTGTGTGTGTGTGTGTATAAGACAAACAGCTTAATTAGATATAGGAGTTAATTAGGGGTGTGTGGAAGCAGTGTCAGATTCAGCAGCTGCCTTGAGGTCAGACATAAGGAGTTTTATTGACTCTCCAGCCACACACACACAGTTTAGAAAATTGTCATAAATGCATGCAGCCATATAGACACACACACCCACGCAGCTTCCCAGGCATGCAGACACACATACTGTACAAAGGCACACGCTGTAACTCACAGTTGCGTGTATGTACAAAACACACAGACCTAAAGCCAGACAACCCGGCGAGCTCAAGAGGCATCTGCATGTTGTTGCGAATATGACCTTGTGACCTTCGCCAGATCAAACCGCTCTCCGAAAACTGTCCCCGCAGCCATCTCAACAGCCATAACAGCAGACAGCGTCTGATCTGACACAATTAGAAATGCACAGAGTATCAAAGAGCCCAGAAAAAAAACTGACAGAAAGTCTTTCTTCCTCTCACATTCCATAATAAACTAGTACTACTCTTCATATCAAGGATGGGAGAAGAAGAAAGGCAACATAAAAGAGAATGAGCAATAAATAGGTAGAAAGAGAAGCAGAAGTGGTAGCGAGAAGCTGGAGAAATGAGCGAGCAGCAGAGAGTGAGAGTTGAACTGACAATGGGAAGTCTCCTTCAGTGAGCCGGTGTTCAGGCAGGCAGCCTTAGGGGGCAACAGTGTGGTATGAATAACAAGAGGCGGGATGACTGGGTGAAATCCTAAAGTGGATAACCTCAGCAGCTCCTTCAGCCACCCTCCTGGCAGGCAATCCCCCCGAGAGAGACAGGTGGCAAGAGAACAAGGGCAGTGAAAGGTAAAGTGAAGGAACTCTTACACATACTGTGCCATTATAGGCAGCAGCTCCTCACTGAGCTGTTTGTTGAGATGTACTCATAAAAACACTGCTTGTCACCATCTGCACCGTGTCTACATTTTCTTCTGTCCTTTGATTCGCCTTGCGCCCACTTATCATCTTAATGTGATGATAAACCTCTATAAAGTGAGTCCCTTGCTGCTAATAAAAATTATTTAAACACGACAACAAATGTTTATGTGTGAAGAAACAAAGCGACCTGTGGCTTTAATGTGGACCCGCATTTAGTGTTTTTTCTATTCTGAAATCTGTTTGAAGCAGCAAGGTCATTTTTAATACAGGGTTACGCACCAGTGAAACGATCCCTGTCAGTACTACTAGTTTGTTAGATCATTATGCTTTGGATTCATCTCTACCTTCCAAATGTCCAGTATATCTCCCATTAAACAGTAACTACCAGGTTGGCTGTGAATTCAGCTACCTGCTGCCTCTGTGTTCAGCACTGGTGCCTCCTGTGCACTGGGTCACCCAAGCACGTACTGTATCTGCCCTGTTGCAGATGACTGACGGCGTAGACAGCAGCTGACAAGCTCTGAGACACACAAACACACAGCTACTGACAGTCTGCCTTGCACACACAAATCCCTTCTAAAACGAAGAGAGAGAAGACCACCTAAAGCATATTGCTCTTTATATTGTATTCCCAGGGCTTTTGAATGGACTGAGAGGTACTTTTTTATTGCTATTGCAAGTCTGTTTAGCACTGATAATTTATGAATTGCTAAACAGAAAAGGTTATTTATAACTACCATCAGTGACACTGAGCCCTCAATGGCAGAGATGAATCAGAGTTGAGCAGTGAAGGACAGATGCACTGTTTCATAATGTCCATACATCAAAGGACTCAGACGTCAGTCAGCCTGACCTATGGGCCACCTCTGTTAAAACAAGCTTTAGTTATGCACTTTATGCAGTGTTGACTCAGGAAGCTGCAGCAGAGCAAATTTAAACCTGCATTAACAGATTATTTGGCTGCACGACAAGCTGTAAACACAACAGTGGCACATTATCACCTTTATAAAGCTGTTAAGGCTAGCATGTTAATGAACAGTGGCCTGTTTACATATCTAGACATCCAGATTTGGAGCAAGATGATAATGCATTTGGAACCATGTTTGTGTCACCTTAACAAATGTAAGTCAAATAATCCTCCTCCTTTTGGCGTGGGTTTCTCTCCAACATCTTCTAAGAAAAATATGATACAGTATATGGCTCTTCATTTGCTAAATGCTTCTTGATGTTCACCAGCCTGTCACTTACTTGGTCCATCTGCTGTAGGGATGACGTATTTTTGTGGGCCAACCCAGAAGTTAGCATCACTCTGGTTCCCTCACCAAAAAGCCAGTGGGATTTTTCCACAGGCTTTTGGATTATTGCAGAAGATAAGCTCTGTGACAAACAACAGTTTATAACAGTTATACTTTGTGTTCAGCAAGATCATTTTCACAAGTCAGCACCACTTTTATGATTTTTGAAGCTCACATACACAAATACAGAAGTGCAAAAATGCTTTTAGGACTCACTACAACAACACTTTATAAGCTGAAAAACACTAAAATGCTCTGTAGAGCAGAGACCTGCAGAGTCAGGTGTTAGCTATCTGTTGTTTCATCTCTACAAGTAACCCTTTTCACCCTTACAAATAATCATTTGATGCATTTTTAATATGCTGTAAAAATATTGACTAGTGGGGCTTTAAAATTATTATGTTATGGCACAACACAGTAAACATGATCATGTTTTTGTTCTTGCAAGGTGACCATTAAACCTCTTCATTCTAGGACTCAGTTTACAAGATCTAAAGTGTGCATGAAAAATGTTTCTAGAAAAAATATCCTGACACAATTTGGAAATGTGCACACAGATTTTTATGCTGTTCACATGTCGCATGTCTGAACCCCTGTGTATCTGCAGCAGCCTCACCATAGATAATTTCTCCTCCACCTCCTGAAAGCATAACTTTGTCCCTCAGTGTTAAAGCGCACATTATAGCACCAGAGTGATGATTTCTCCTATTGTTTCCTATGATCTATGTCTTAGTAGCTTTCTCTTAATCTCTACAGAGGCTTCTCCACCATCTATTAGCATGGGAGTCCTGCATCTGTGCAGCTCTCTTCAGTGTATTAATAGCACCTGGGTGGGAGGTTAAGATGCTAACTGGCGGGGCAAGCACTTAACAAAAAGATGGTTCAGCATGCACCAAACTGGACCGGCAAACAGCTGTTGTTACCCCAGTAATGCCAACTAGAGGCATCTCACTTTACCACAGTACTCTACATCTGAGATGGCCACTGTGTTTTCCAACGCTTCTCTGTTCTATTTTCAGACAGCTATCATCATCACAAGCATCACACTCTATAGCTTGAACTGACAGACAGTGAGACTTGGCAGGCTGGCCTTGCTAAAAATTATGCTGAATCGCACTCTCCTCTCTGGCTCTTTGCAGCACTCCTACTAAGACATGCTAATATGCAAATGATTGCAGACATGAATGTGTTCTCATCTCTGCGCAGGTCTAAACAGGGGGGTCATTTATCATAACAAATACCCACCAAAATAATTTCACCCTCTTGCTACAAATTTCATTTCTGAGGGCCTCAGAAATATATTCTTACGGTGTGTTGGCACATGTGACGTCCCCTAGGAGCACCTATTTTTGCATAAAAACGATTTGGGCTTGTTCAGGTGGGCTCCACGGTGCTGCTGCCTGTTGATGCAGAAACAGAGGATGAGGAATTTCTACATGATTGATTGCATCGGCCTCATAACGTCACTTGCACAGTTGCTTGTTTGATCACCTCCACTGTTTAACTGTCCTGCTGACCCTGAGAACCACCTCCATTAACAGATGGCCTGTGTATAAATGGTTAATATTCCCTCGCTGATGTTTGGTCAGCCTGGCTATATGCTGAACATAGGAAATATGAGCATGCACAAACACTCATGCATGAATAAGCACACACCATTTCTCTGATACTTGGCGGTGGTTCACCAATAATTGGTGTCATTTAGAGGACAATAGCTGTTGGTGGTGGATAATGAAACATTAGGAATTAGCCCCTGTATTCCCAGCAGTCTACTAGCTGCCAACCTTATTTTAGGTGCATTATCTCCTCTACCACCTCGCACCAGTACAAACCGATACAGTAAGTTGCTGCTTCAGCACAGCTAGACTTTCTGTTCAAACCAAAACTATTAATCTCTTTCCTCTTTTTCCTCCCAGCTAAAACACTATGTGCTCCCAGTCATACAGGAAGTCAGCTATAGGTCACAAAAATGAATTTCTCTTTAATGTTGCTATAAGGGTTTAGTTGTTTATTTGACCTTTCTCACTCTACTGCATGCAACCTTGGTGAGAATACAAATGGCAGCTGTTGTTTTTATCTCTGTTAATAATTTTGACCTTTAATTGTTTTTTTTATGACAGGACCAAATACTGTATCAAATTTTATGTAAAAACATAATACATACCAATTAACAGGAAATAACAGTTTGTTTTTTTTGTTGTGCCAGAATCTGCAAAATAAAACTGCTTATCTGTGCTGTTGTATCAATATACCACCCTGTGTGAGTCTGTTGACAGTTCATGGGAGACTGAGTTTGTGCTTTCATACAATGTTGATCTGAATGTTTACATGCAAATGAGATTTATATAATTATAGTGATATCAGTTTAGGACAGAAAAATCTATGCTTATCACATCAAAATCCCTTTATTTACAGTCCCAGTCACCTTTTCTGTCATTTCCAAATTACACAGGTGGCAGTAAATGTCAGTTAACACAGACCAAAATTAGCAGCATTTGTTTTTAATTAATCTCAGCACTTACTGTGTGGAGGCGATGTATAAAAACTTGAATGTTTTTTCACAAGCTAATTACTTGGTCTTTCCTTTTATAATTAAGTATTTAGCCTCAACATTCAGTAAAAGCTGTTGTTGGGTAGGCTTGTGTGACTTGAACATGAGCAGGCTTTAATGGTGTTACTCTGTACTATGTATGTGTGTGTGTTTTTCAGGGACGTAAGCCAGGCTACTTCTCCTTCCTGGATCCCTTCTCCCCTGGAGTCTGGCTCTTCATGCTTCTGGCTTACTTGGCTGTTAGCTGTGTCCTCTTTCTGGTGGCCAGGTAAAGAGCTCACCAGCAAAATACAGATGAGAGAGAGAGAACAAAAAGTGAACAAAGGGGTAGAGTACAGAGAGTAAAAATATAAAAGAGCTTTTTGGGGTATACAGAAGAGGAAACAGGTGTCTGTTCTCTCAGTTTTCTTCAGTCTCTCCAGCTGTTCTTCCACATCACAGTGAATGAGATGTTTACCTCCCAGCGGTGGGTCTCCAGCGTCACACTGACACCTGCTGGACAGTCAGGGAACTGGCACAACTGCTGCTCTACACATTACACAGTGGCTTGTAAAGGCACCTTAGCAAAAATGTGATATACTTTATTTAACAGCATCTGGAATCAAGGACTTCTGAGGGTGATGTACTGTAATTGCCATATAAACATCTCTAGAAGCTGAGTTAGTGACAATTTATTCAGATCTGTCCTAAAAAAAATTGTGGCAATGCTCTCAGTCCTTGTAGTTGTTTCTCCTGCCAGTATTTGGCTACAAAGAGCCCCCCACCCCCACCCCCCCATTAAAACACCTTCCAAAGTTCAGCTAGAGAGCTGAAGCTCCAGAGACAAATCAAATGGTTATCTGCCACAGTTACTGTCATTGTAGTATGAAATGTGCGTTAACATTTCCTCCACCACAGCACAAGTAAACTCTGTCTGGGGAAACATAAATAAGGGATTTAGTGCTGAAACTTTGGAAACTAAGCACTTGATTTTGGAATTAAGCTTTTCACATCCAGCATGAATGTGCAGTAAGAGAAGTGATAACAATGACTGATTGGTCTTTCAATGTGCATGAGTATTGTATCAATTCTAAAAAATGTGAAGTTGTTATTCTGTCGTTCATATTTCCATATCTGCTTTTTTGCTTGCTAACTTTTTTGTCAATTTTGCCAGAGCAGATGGAAATGTTACCCTAGTTTTAATACAGAGACAACACTTTTTTTTTTTCTCGACCTAGCACACAACAGAGTTGTCACATAACTTTAGCTTCATGCGGCACCAATTGAAAATACCAATTACAAAGCTTTCACCCCAACTGTCTAAATAGACAGCACACGAGGAATGAAAAGCAGGTTGTTTTGCTCTCTAGAGAGTCAAGGTGACTTTGTGCGCCATTGACTGTTTGAGCTGTTTTGCTCCTTTACTCACTTTTCTTTCTTCATTCGCCTCAGTCCCACTCTCTCACTCTTGAGTTTTGCTTTTGTCAGAATCCATTTCCACTGTCCTCGGCTTTATTCCTCCTTTGTGTCTCTCGGTTGTGTAACCCTGTTGACTCATTCTCTCCAGACTGACACCGTATGAGTGGTACAACCCTCACCCCTGTCTAAAGGGCCGCTGCAATCTGCTGATCAATCAGTACTCACTTGGCAACAGCTTCTGGTTCCCTGTTGGAGGTTTCATGCAGCAAGGATCCACCATTGCCCCCAGAGCTCTGTCCACACGTTGCGTCAGCGGAGTGTGGTTAGTATTGGCTCCAGAGACATATGAATGCATTTGAAATCTGCACAGATATGTACTCATTCACTTGTGTTCTATTTTAATTTTATGTCTAGTTGTTCATCACAGAATGCATTTCATGTTTGATGTGATCTTGAAGCTTCAGTTCAGATTTCTGGGAGATCAGGATTCAAGATGAGATAATGAAAGCATTTGTGCATGCGTTATTCAGTGTCTGTGTATGTCTGCAGCTAAAGCTTCACTTCCTTTCATCCAAATTGGGAATTCTCACCTCTATCCATAATACACCCACCCATTCATCCATCTACTTTGTCATCTACTGAACATCCTGCAGTGTCTTCTCCCAGGTGTGCAGTTATTTCAGTCTCCCTATACTTTCACCCAGACAATCTGTCTTCATACACTAGCCTGCCCATTTACATACTTTTATAGGTGGATACATATGTTCTTGTTCTCTACCGTTCCTCCACAGGTGGGCCTTCACATTAATCATCATCTCATCCTACACAGCCAACCTGGCTGCCTTCCTAACAGTTCAGAGGATGGAGGTACCGATAGAGTCAGTAGATGACCTCGCGGATCAGACAGCGATAGAGTACGGCACTATGCAAGGAGGATCCACAATGACCTTCTTCCAGGTCAGTGGTTGCACTGTTTATAGTCCCAGCACACATACACACACACACACACACACATTGTTTTTGTCACATATACACATATACACTCACAGACGTACCTGGCCCACAATGGTGTATGGGCCATCAATTATCCTCCTCATCATTTTTGTGTCCTTCTTGTCTTTCTCCTCTAACCACAAGTTTTATCTGTTTCCTGGCAGTTCCACACCACAGCCATTCAATATCCCTCTCCTCTGGGAGATGGGGCAGTATCCAGGTCTCTAAGAGAGACACACACTATCCTCTTTCATCCTCTCATGACCTCAGAGAGAAAGAAAACAGTCAGTAATAAAGACAGTGTGTTCCACAAAAAGAAAGAAAGAAGTGAAGGATAAGAATGGGAGGAGGAAGAATAGACATTAGCCTTGTCTTCCTCACCGCTTTTACATCCACTGGACCTTGAATAACTCGGGGAAGACAGGCCAAAAGAAAGTAGAGGGCAGGTGGGCATGTTAAGTGAAGTTTCTGCTTTGGAGTCTGAAGCTATTCAAACGTGAAAAGGTGTGCTGACAAAAAAAATTCACATTTAACAGCAGCACTGTTTTCACAGAGTCCGAGACTTTGAATAAATTCATCAGTGGAGAAAATGAAAAAGACAAACAAATAAAAAGCAATCTCCGCCTGTACTGATAGGTTTTTTGTTTACTGCCTCCCCCTTCTGATTGTCTGTTTCTTTTGACCGTATCTCGTCTCGCACCGCTCTGCAGAACTCGCGCTACCAGACCTACCAGCGCATGTGGAACTTCATGTACTCAAAGCAGCCCAGTGTGTTTGTGAAGAGCACAGAGGAGGGGATCGCCCGTGTCCTCAACTCCAACTACGCTTATTTGCTAGAGAGCACCATGAATGAGTACTACCGCCAGAGGAACTGCAACCTGACTCAGATTGGAGGACTGCTGGACACCAAGGGCTACGGCATTGGCATGCCACTGGGTAAGTGTAGAATTAGAGTTGGATGAAGAATAATCAAAAGTAAGACAAGAGAAGAACTTATAAGTTCACTCACACAGGATGGAGACCTGATGGATATCAATATTTAAGAAAAAAGACAGTTTGTTTGAGAAGCAGAAGGAAGTTCAGTGTAAAACGAAAGCACCAGAGGACGAAAAACAATGCTTTTGCTTAGATGCACTGTATAATTCATGTTGAAGCTAAGAAGAGGGAATGAAGAGCAGGGGCATTGTTTGGAGGATACACAGTAAATGTCACATTCGAGAGCTTCTGTGAGAAGTAAAGCCTCAGCAGAGCCAAACTATTAACTACTATCATGAGGGGAAATGATGCAAAAGTGTGAAACTAAAAGAGACTTTAATGCTTGACTTGAAGAGAGTGGCAGTTTCCACTCTGTGATGTGAAAGGTGAGGATGAGAGAAAGGGAATTTAAAATACTGTTCCTGTAGAATGTGGGACTGCTGTTGTACAACTCACTTGCAGCACTCGGAGTATAAACACAGGCTTTACTTACACTTTGATCTCAGGTTGAGTTAAACTGCAGACTGGGAGAAAAACACACCTTAAAGCAAACAGGACTAATTTCAATTCCTTTCATGTTTAAAGGATAGAAAACCCCACTCTTTAGTGGAAGATGCTCCATACAGCCTACTGTGATGTGACCAGTAGAGCACTGCAGAATAGTAGTAAACCCTTTCATCTTGTATTTGAAATCTTATTTTTGTTTAAACTAGGTTTTCCATTGGATTGGCATCATTTCACATTTACCAGGAAAGACGTCACGAAACTAACATTTGGTTTCACAAAATGAATGCATTGGAGACAAGTGGATTTCTTGAGAAGGAAAGTTGAATGCAGGTGAAAGTACCTTGTTAGCACATTAGGTTTTGCCCCTGTCTTCCCTTCAGGGTCAGTGTACCGTGATGAGTTTGACCTGGCCATCCTCAAAATGCAGGAAGACAATCGTTTGGAGATCCTCAAGAGGAAGTGGTGGGAAGGGGGCAAGTGTCCAAAAGAGGAGGACCATCGCGCCAAAGGTTAGTCTCTAATTGATCCTCATCTTGCTTGTTCTTTAGCTCCACTTCAGTTCATCTCTCTCTTTCTCATGCTGACTTCTCCCAACCTCCCTTGCCATCTCCCCAGGTCTGGGTATGGAGAACATTGGCGGCATCTTCGTGGTGCTGGTGTGTGGCCTGCTGGTGGCTATCTTCATGGCAGTGCTGGAGTTTGCCTGGATGTTAAGGCAGACACCAGGAAATGAGGTGAGAGAGGGCTATCTAACTTGCATCTGCTTTATCTCCCTCTCCCCTCCCTGGCACTCTCGCCCTCACGGAGCTGTCAGGCTCTCTCACAGTGCACAGCTTTGACAGGACGTGTAGCATGCATCTTCTAATTCCTCCAGGTTCCACCTGACATCCAGCCTTCCTCTGTCCAGCCTATGTCACAAAATACGCACAAAAACAAAGATATACCTCACTTAAACCTCGCTCAGAATACTCACTCAGAGTACCTGCATATATGAATGAATTTCTCTTTATACCTAGCAGTAAAAGATTCATACATATCATCATACATATCATAGAATACTGCACATAATATAGAATACTGAATGTAGTTAGGTCTCATTGGTGGTGAATATGTACTTACAGGGTGCTGCCAATGAGAATTTATCATAACAATATTTGTGGTTGTTTAATCTTAGCCTTAATCCAGTCGTCTTTTTATTTAAAAGATGCCTGGAGTTGTGTGCACATCTTCACTTAAAATGCAGTTGTCAGACACCAGAAATCACTCGTTCCATCAGAGTGTGAATGATGGACAGTAATGAACTAGTTGTGACCACCAATCAGAAGTTTGCATTAATACCTGACTATCAATACAACCAGAGGTAGGATGCTTTTTAAATGAAAGATTTCTAAAGTTTAAAGTGGTTTTCACTGGTAGTTAGTGTTTATTATTCTCCTGAAACTGTACAAAATACATGATAAATCATAAACAGATAAAATTACAGAAATTTCAATTTGGCTTCATCTGGAATGAGGACTGGAAACCAATATGAGCAGTGTGTCCAGTCTAATCACAGAACTCCGGCTGTTTGTAGAGACACTGTCATCAGGACAAAGGCCGGTTCAAATTTTTAAAATGATCACTTCTGTCAGCGCAGTAGCTCTGCTGTGCTTCTCAAATTGGAGGCAGCTTTAACAATAAGTGGCAGAGAAAGATATCAGAGAAAGATGTGCATGCAGTGTGATAATTATTTTTGTTGTGATTCCTTTAAAAGATACTTGATATTTGTCTATTCAAATGGACTCCGCACTGTGATTTTAATTCAATAAACATTCAGAATGTGAAAGTCAAAAACCAACTTGTGATTTTTTTTTTTAAGCAGAATAATTTTATGTTTCACTCTGACTTGTGTGTGTGCGTGCGTGCATGCGCCCAGTGTTACCACTGAAACCTGTTTACACACTCACACTGTAGGGACTCAGCCTTTCTCGTGGCTTGGTCCCCACCAGAGTGGATTAAGAAGGAGAGTGACGACATCTCCACTGACTCTATAAGGACCATTTTTTACAGTAATGGCGGGTCACGGGAATGTCGAATAGTTCCAAACATTAGGAGCAGTGCCATAGAGTTACACTGACTTCTAAAATAAATAGTGGAAATCAGTACCACTGATCATACTTGTGATATTTTAAGTGTCAAAGTACATTTTACAACCATGTTGACTGTCTCTCTCGAATATTGCCACTTTAGTAGATTAGGTACCTAGCTAACTAGTTAAGTTAGCTGTGCTACCTATTACAACAGAACACAGAATTAGTTTGCAAGGCTGTTTAAGTCATTAAAAGTAGTAGTTTACTGATAAATCTTGCTGCTCCCTATGGAAAACAATGGGCCTGAATCGACTTTGGAATTATCTGAAGCTACATGAGTCACATGACCCGCTGCCAGTTTTTGACCCTCTTGGTGTTGCAACTCTCCTGTCTTAAGGGCTCTGGTCCCCATCTTGTCTGTCATTGAATTTTAGGATGACGACTTGATTTAATAGTAGGCTAAATTAGGTTTGGGCAAGTAGTGCTTATGATTAAGGTTAAAATTTGTCTCCAAGAAATGAATGGAAGTCAATGTGAAGTTCCCACAAGAAATGGAAACAAAAGTGTGCATGCATGTGTGTGTTTATACCTGTGTGCATCTCTGTAGTTGTTCCTGTGCTCATGTGCAGCATGTGTGAATTGATAATTAGCAGCATCTCCTGTTTTGCACTTCAGCTGCAGCATAATAACATGTCTGTTGTTGTAATTACTGAGTACTGTAGCTACCTAGTGGAACACTTGATCATCAGTCCATGAGAAAATGTGCGTGCTACATGTGTATAAATACTAAGTTTAAAATTCCATATGTGCTATATGTGTTATTTTTACTGGTTGTTCAGTCTACACTAGCCATTTCACTGTTGTTCCCACTGTTCACTAATTATATGGATAACTATGATGTGTGTTTCTGTGATGTCTGTCAGTTTGTCCTCAGCAAGTCAGTCAGTCAGTCAGTCAGTCAGTGAGTTGCCTGGCCTCTCTCCCTCTCTCTCCCTCTCTTATCCCCCTCTCCCCTATCTTTTTCTCCCTGTGTGTGTGCCTGCAGCAGTCAATGTGTGAGGAGATGCTGCGGGAGCTCCAGGGGATCGTCCTGTGTCGGGACAGCCTGCAGGTGAGGCGCCGACGGGCGGCTTCAATGCTACGACCGCGACCCTTGCCCCTGGAGGATCGCCGGGCGCGTGCAGCTGCCGTCAGCCTCAGCAATGGCAAGCTGTGCGGGGGCACTGGACTGCCAGAACCTCTCTCCCACAGACTGGCACAGGAGGCTGCCATGGTTGCGAGGGGATGCAGCCACATCCGCATTTGCCCTGAATGCCGACGTTTTCAGGGACTGAGGATGCGTCCTGCAGGGGCCACTGGGGCCCTCCCATCTCCCACACACAGTGAGGAGAGCATAGAATGGGACAAGGCCACAAATAGCAGTGAACCTGAATAACGCCCAGCGATTCCAACGCAACTGACTTTCCCAGCTGCCACCTCTCTACTTTCCAGGGATCAGAGATCACGTGGTATTTTGATACAGCCATGCGGAGCTTGGTCTTAAAGGGCAGGACAATGCTGAGAACTTGGTTTTGCCCTAGACACAATAGCCAGCAGTCAGTTTTTGGAATTTCCTTTGGTGAATTTTTTTTTTCCTTGCTCACAGGAAAAACTGATGAGTCTGTCTCATTGTGTTCTGTCCCTATTGGCCCTCTATGCTGTGTGAAACAGGACGGACACAAACAGCTATGGTGGAATTTGTACTATGCAGCATTTTGAGTCCTTTATCATTGTGCTGTTTTTTTTTCTTTTTAAATTATTTCTGTCCTCTGTTGGATTATCGGTACTGAATATTATTATTCTATTGTTCTTTAAAATTTTCAAACAAGATGCTTTTTTAATCTGACAGTTTACTGTATGAACATATATTGCCTCTGAAGAGCTGCAAAGATGAACAGACTAATGCAAGACTAATTCTTCAAATCCTTTTATTTTGAAAGTGCCAAAAAAAATCCATAAGTTTTATCTTGTGGATGAAGAAAGCACCCCAGCCTTGAGAAGACGACAAACTCAACTGAACCTTAAAAAACAGACACATGGACTTTTTTATAGTAGTGATATTCTATTAAAAATGTTTTAAATGTTAGTATCTCTGAAAGACAGCGAGTTCATGTCAAGAGGTGTTGGCAGGTGCTCGCTGAATGATTCATTGTAAAAGTGGTGAAAGGATTTCCTGTTTTGAATACCTGCTTAAAAATGTGATGGCTACACACACACACACATACACACATTTCACACAAAACACCAGTTTATTTCCTTCCTCTACGTCTTGGCATTACTTCCTCCTCCATCAGTCCTACGTCTTTGACACCATGACAAGGATATTGTGTGAACATACTGTATGTCCACTTGATGACCTCTCACTTAAAAATATATACAATCTCCCCCACAGTATATATACACTCTCTGTAAGAAGTGAGAGGCCTTTTTTTTTCATTGCACATATTTAAGAGTGATTCAGGTCTAATTAGGGATGTGTATGAATTAAACCCAGAATATATTAGAACCAACCAAAAGCATGAAGTCCCTGGTAAAGTCAATGTTTTTCTGCTGCAGTTGACTTGAGTTCTTTTAAATGTCAAGTCATTTAAACAGTTGTCGAATGTGTAGTTCACTGCTTTTAGGAGGACATCAGCTCGTATCAACCTAGACACTGACATTTTCATACTTTTATTTTTGCAAATTTCCAAACTAAACCTAGAATATATTAATAGATTCCCCAGGAAACTGACTTTTAATGCCAATTCAAATGCAGAAAAGAACTGAGCGATGATTCAACCAGTTGTTTATCAATTCAGTTTTGGTCATTACAGTATTTGAAGTTTGGAAATCCAATTAATTGAAGTTAAAATGAAGCAATTCAATAATTCAAAATTTCAGTTACTATTTAAAATGTATTCATTGGGTTTGGTAAGTTTATTTAAAGAATGGTAGGTTGTTTTTATATGCATTATATCAGCTGTGCCTTCAGAGGTAAAACAATGAGAACAAACCTCCATTTATAGAGAATGTGAAGTTGACATCATACCGTGTTGAAGTTAGGGTAAATGTGCTATGTTTGGGTCATCCATCATAGAGACATACATTACATACATCTATAAATCAATTTTTAAAAATTAAGCACTATCCCATACAGCTTCATATGGTAGCGGATGCTTCAGCTACATCCAAACTTCCTCTTTAGTGTTCAGTTTGAGCAAGGACAGGACAGAAATTAATTCATCTGCAGTGTTTGTATTAACTGCCAACAGCTGCTAGCTAGTGTTAGCTCCTGAACTGAGAGGTGAGATCAGTGTGCAGTGGCATCTCTGTCTCTCACTCATAGACAGGATCTGTAGGTCCACCCCAAGTTAGCTAAGTCAGCTAAGGTTATCAATCCTGAATTACCACAGTCAGTAAAGTGAGATCTAAACAATTTAAGGAACTTTTAAACTAAAAAAAACAAGAATGTATGCAGGTAAATATAATGCATACCTCCAAAAATGGTTCCCCCATCCCAGCATTCAGCACATTGTGACGTACCTTCACACTCACTTCTACATTGAATGTTGCACATGACTGGGTGATTTCTATTCAGCACATTGTGACGTACCTTCACATTCACTTCTACATAGACTGTTGCACATGACTTGGTGATTTCCCACTGCAGCGACTGGTTTGGAGATGTTACTGTGTGCATGTCTGGTGCACAGTGGGAATCTGTGGTCACCCACCTGTCTTTACTGCTTCTTGCTTATCTCTGTAGTGTCCATCATTTTAAATCTGCCTGTCAAGTTCAGTCAATCACCATCCATCAGAACTAGGCCAGGTACTGTAGTATCTCTCTTGTAATTTATTAGCCACATTGACTGTGTGTCATATTTTCGAGGCATTATTTCACTCAGACTGCCTCTATGTTTTTCAACTACCTGTGCTGGTACCTGTATGCTGTTTCAGAAGTTGGTGAACATGTGACACTGTGGTGGATCAACTGTTGACAGACTCTGAGTGCACAACTGTACTAATACAGAATTTTCAGTCATTTTTTCACCTTTTCAGTGTCAGTTCAATCAGTTGCTGAAAAGTGTTTCAGGACTTTAGATGTTTTTTTGACTCTGGTCTGTCTGCAGTGTGTTAGAACTCCCTCCAGAACACATTTGTGTTTGAAACGCATGATTGATTCAACACGCCACAGAAATGAATAGAAATCATAGAGACATTATGCAATCATATGCTCAAGAGCCATTCATGCTAAATCATCTAAATCTCCTATTACTGTCCCACAGAAGGTCTAGAGGATGATCAGCAAGGTTCCCCAGTAATGGTCCAAACAGTTGGTTTGTCAATATAGGAGCAAGAGTCACTTGAAACTGGTTAGAACAGCGAGATAAAGACCCACATGTGTATAATGTCTATGCCATTTAGACATATATAGAGTTGACACGTTCACAGACTGTGAGCATAATGATTAAAAAACCTTCACAGGCAGTAAAAATGTTCTATATGTCTTTATATAATAACTTGTTAAAGACAAATTGCCATACAAATAGCAAAGAAAAAACATAAACCCACATTTCATTATCAGTTTTATAAAAGACGTTTCTATCCATTTGCTGAATGTCACTAAGAATCTCCTGAGGGTAAGAAGGCTGCTAACTTTGTACGCTAAAAACATTTACAGGGGTGCTAAATCAAGCATAGTTGGAATGAGATTGCCAATTACCTTGAAGGCATGAAGAGCAGTAGAATAAGAATTAAAACAAACCCTACTGAAAGCACTAGGAGGCCACTGAGAGAGATGGCAGGGTTTGGCTGCAATATTTTATATGCTTTATTTTCTTATGTTGACATTTTTATTATTATTATATAAATACATTTCTTGAAACAACCTCCTTTCTGTGGGGGTCTGGTTTTGTCTCTTCTTTACTCTGATGTATTTGACCTTCTAAATTGTTAGGTCTGCCATGCTAAATAGCTTCTGAGTGCACCTTGTGTTTTTTTTTAAGTTTTATTCAGACAGTGCACCTATGCTGTTGTGACACATGCATGCAGAGAAGCAGTGCCAGGATGTGTGGGTTTCTAGGAGAGTGAACACGCCAACTGTTGAATGAACCAAAAGGAACTGATGCATCTACCTCTTGTTTCTCTGCCATCGCTGAATTTTAACATCTGCACACTTGTGAAACCGTTGAGGAACTTGTGTGGGTGGGAAGTCTAATGAAGGCTAATGAGTATAACAGCTCACTTGTGTTACACACACACGCTCACCCATAGTGCATCTATCACCGTGTTTTTCATGGGATAGTTCCCTCTGGTCAGGATAGTGAGTGAACACCACACTGCTATGTCTGATTTACCATCTCCCTCTCCTGTCCTCTCTGAGTGCTTGTCTCGCAATCTGTTCCACTGCACCTTTAAAAAAATCACCTTTTTCGGTACATCACAAACCCGCATGTCACATTCACACCCACATAACTCTTACAAAAGTGACACACACACACATGAACACTCACTGCCGCCCCTGTGTCAGTGCTGTGTCAAGTTTATTTCATTGTGCTCATGCTTCTCCTCCTGCCTCTGGTGCTCCAGGTCTATAAATTAAGCACATAGCCACCACTGCCTAGCTGCTGTTGGGTTTATGGAGCCCATGATGAGCACTGAGTACCTGCAGAGGTATGTGAAAATCTGCCTCACTCCTCAAGCTTATTTACTTGTAGTACATAGTCCCTGGAGTTGATTATTATTTTGCAAGAATTTAGGAATTCTAGTGTACTGAGTCTGATGCATTTTGCCAGGCTTGTATCCCATACACTTTTTCATCAGCCTATTCCATGTAAATACATTTTTCTTGTTCTTCTTGTTTGCATTTTGCATACATAAAATTCACATTTTTTGAGCACTAGAAGCTATGTGACCTAATAAACCAAACATGAAGCTTGGAATATTTAGATATTTTTAAAATATTGTGGTTCTGTAACTCTGCATTCATGATGATTCATGATGATTTTATTGCTTTCTAATAGCCACAGTAAAATCTATTCATCACATTTCTACTGTCAAGGCTGTATCCCTTGATCACACAATTGCTTTTTCTTCTCTGGCAGCAGATTTCTCAAGGTTTAACAGCATGCATGTATAAATCCACCCCAACAATACCAATTGAAAGACATAACATGGAATCGTCAGCGAAACTCCGTAATTCACAGCAAGACTGGGGCATGTTTTAAAGTGAGAACTTTCATATTGATTTGCTGGTAATTCATTGCAAAAGGCTTGTTATTGTTGTGTGGTCAAAGGAAGGGTATTCAGAGTACAAGAATTCTCTCCAAGGTGAGATGCTGTCAACGCTGTTATACAGCCTTTTGTTCACTGACAGTTGTTGTTGAACATATTGACCAAAACATCTTGACATTGTTTGTCTTTCAGAGAAATAAAATGGAGCTTCATTTACTTTGGGTTTTGGTCCCTGACTATTCAGTGCAGCTTTGATCGATGGCCGACAGATGGGAAAATGCTGATTACCTGGTTGTGCATGTGGGCGGGTTCCAGTCAGTGTGGATGCATCTGTGGGTGTGTTTGAATGTGATCTCTCTCATGTGCTTGTGTCCATGGGAAATCGCAGTATGTGCATCTTGATTCATCAGCTGGAGGCCATCTTGTTGGATCATTACCAAAAAGCTAAACGGATGCAGTACACAGCCAAGCCAAATTCCGGTGGAAGTGCACCAGAAAACCCTCATTGTTAGATAGTCACCAGAGAAATCAAAGCAGCCAGCTTTTTATTGTGGAAACCAGTTGGGTAACACATAACAAAGCCACGTGGCTCTTTAGATTTTTACAGCAGAATAGTCACAAAAATTGTTGAGCTTGAGTTAAAGACTGAAGTACAAATCAGTCACTTTCCACAAAGACTCCAGTTTTTTTAATAAAGTATTGTCAATCTTTGAGCAAATGCTTTGATGACAGCAGAAAACCATTAGCAGGGTTCAATTTAGAATCAGTCCATTAATCATGTACAACATGGAAGAAACTGTCCACCCATCCATCATCTATACCAGTTATTCCTGAATAAGTCACCAGTCAACCTAAGATGCATGTTTTTGCATTGTGGGAGGAAGCCGGAGTATGTGGAGAGAACCCACGCAGGCACAGGGAGATCATGTACACTTCGAACAGAAAGGCTGGGTTGGCCGAGGCCCATACCCAGAACCTTTTTGCTGTGAGTTGACAGCACTATCCATTGTGCCGCTGTGCCACCCTGGAAGAAATTCTCTTATTTCTTTTTTGTATTAAAGAATAAAAGGGCTTCTACAGTCCAAAGTCAGTATCTAGTGTGACCTCCCTTTGCACTCAGCACAGCCAGAATTCTTTTGGGGAGGCTCTGTGGAAGTCTTGAAGCCATGACAGACCCTCCACCATGTTTCACTGAAGACTGCTACTCTCATTCTTCCACCTCTTCTTCTCACATGCTGTCAACAAACAGACCCAAACATTTCAAACTTCTATTCACCGCTCCATAAGCCTCTTTTCCACTGATCTTTACTCCAATCTTTGCAGGCGTTTGCGTATCTCAGCCTTTTCTTCCTGTCCCCCTTCTGAACTAGTGGTTTCTTGGCTGCTGTCCTTCCACAAAGGCCGGTCCTGATCAACCTTCTTCAGACTGTGGAAGGATCAGCCTGGCATCCAGATGAAGCTACCAGATGCTGAGCCAGGTCCTTGCTGGATTTCCTCTGGTCTCTCAGAGAAAAAACTCTGAGAACCTTCTCATCAGATTTGGACAGTTTTCTTGGTCTTCCACTCCTGTTTTTGTCCTTGACCTCTCCAGATTCCTTTAGAACAGCCTGAATACCACATATTGAGGATCCAGTTGGTTTGCTGATCTTTTCTGACATTTTGTGCATTTTAATACTGTGTAAACATTTCTTATATTTTCTAGCTGTATTCTGATAAATACACAGTATGTAGTCATCATAGAAAGAAAGTCACTTTCAGCTTTTCCCAATTAGGGGTCACCACAGCGAATTGTCACACTGACGACTTGCATGTTTTACACCGGATGCCCTTCCTGACATAACCCTGATTCGAACCCGGGCTGCAGCCGCGAGAGCGATGCACCTTAACCACTAGCCTACCAGGGACGGCCATCATAACATTGGTAAAACAACAAATCTAATGGTGGCCTAAAACTTTTGCACAGTACTATATACAACTAACTTACACTTGGGTGTATAGACAGTACTACTACCATGAATGAAAAGTAATTACAGAAACTCAAGTGCCAGTTCATGTTACTATGTAACATTTCAAATGTTCCTCCCTAAATTTCTGAGATGGTTTCATTTAAATAACTGTTCAAGGCCCAACAAGTGAAAAACAATTACAAATTTGTGTAGAACTTAGTTTTTTCTTCTGTCTTCTCCCATTAATAATCTCACAACCCCTTGGTTATACAATCTAATACTGAAATACTTCTAGAATATAAAATATTTTAAAGTATTTTAGCTCCTACCTGACATGTTAGTATAGTGAAGAGCTGGGTGGTTTTTTTTTACATTACTACTTTTACTAAAGTTCTGAGTACTTCTCCCACAAACTGACCACTATGGGACATTTTTATAGTAACCTTTCTGAGGGAAATGCTTCTATAAGGTACACTGTTATAAAGAAAAAAGTTTTATGTGTTCCCCCACTAACAGGTACAGTATACGTGTTTCATTCTGGGCACAGGGATGACTAAACAAATAGAAACACATAAACCCTGAAGGCAAAAACTCTGTGGTTTGTGGAGAAAATATTGGTTTTCAGATAAAGGCCTCTTGAGTTCCTGTGTTAATTGGTCGTTAGAGCGCAAGATTATCCTAATCCCCGGGTAAATGAGTCGTTGCCTCACAGATGAGAGGCAAAAATAAATTGCACTGGGCCATGAAAAAGACATACAAATGACAGACTTGGAAATAAAAATTTGTTCATCTGGCTCCCTGCAGGGAAAATCAGAGTTAGCGACGCTGGGCAGCTAAATCATATTTCTTGCATCATTAATTGTTATTTTTGCCTTTCTCTTGTCATTGTGTTGTCATGTTGAACATTACTTTTTGTTTACTTTTTATAGTTTCCTTTCTGTTGATTTCTGTTTTGTCATAGTTGTGAGATGAATTAAAAACACTGCAGTTTAGTAATATTACTTAGGCTATTCCGACATCCATGTGGTTTATGTAGGCAGTTTCACCTTTTGCTTTCCTGGCTGTTGCCATATTTGGCCTCTGGTCCACAGCTTAAAACAAAACCTGAGCAATGTTACTGACATTGCTGTTTTTGCTACTCTGCTCCCCTGCTGTAGGATTATGAGCCTTCTGTGATTTATGTAGAGTAGTGCATGCTGTCACCCAGTCTCACTGATCTCATACTGTGTTAGTGGAGCCCTCAGATGCTTTTATTCAACTTACAAATATCTTTCTTAACAAGTTTACCTTGTACAGTATTTACACATATAAAATACCAAATACAGTACATAATATAACACTCTAAAAACATCTGGGTTTCTAAACTATTCTGGCCACCATAAATAGTCATTTGCTACATCTAGTGGGCATTACACAACATTACAAACACTGCATAGTGAACAATTGCAACAATGCATTCGTATTAACTCATTTTGTTTCATACGCTGACCCGTGTGTTAGGCATACTAAACTGTGAGTTGTAAGCTGAATGCTGTCATGGACATCACTTTCATTTGAACCAAACACATTCTGATCAGACACAACTGAGCTGTAGCTACAACATTAAACAAATGTGTCTCACAGCTGCTTCCAGTGGTCTTTTAGAAGTCCAGCGCATTTAGGCCAAATTCAGAGAGCAGTTCCTTATAATTTTGGTGAAGGCCTATGCTCTTATCCTTCCATCCCTGCTGAGCCACAGACAGCTGGGAGGTCAGGCTGTCTAGAGTCTCCTGCACAAAACATAAGTAAAAATGAAATGCAAGCTTTTCCTTTTACATCAAGAGGCATAATTAGATTCTGTGGCATACTAGGAAAGATTGAAATAATGCTAGTTATATATTAAAATTCTAGTTCTATAAACACAGGCTGCACCCTGGAACAGGATTCGACTCAAAGCTTGATTGTTATTGTTGTAGCTCTGCACAGTGTTGAAATGTTGCATGTACAGTCTGCACTCAGCCAATCACGCTGTACCTATAAAAGGTCAATACTGACCCCTTTCTACAACCATTACATCTTAAAGAGCCCATAGCATGCGTTTCCTTGTTTTCTGACTTACCTACAATGTTACAACAGTGAATTATCATCTTAGATGTCACCTAAAGCTCATAAAATGAGGTATACCTACAGTATGTTCTAGTACTTCTATGCAGATGTAACTCAGTTTATACAGATTTGGCAAACTCTCTCGATTTTGCTAATAAAAAATGGTTGTGATCTCCAGGTAGTTGCGCGTTCATGTGGGCTTGCCTGACATCCATCAGTGCTATTTTAAAAGCAGAATTCTTTGACTGAGCGCAGTTTTGTGGATATATTTTACCTCCTGCTGCTGCACTGTGGCCAGAGGATGTGGAAAAAAATACAGGGCCTGGGAATGTTCCTGTACATGGTCTCGCTGCTTTACCTGATCGGGTCTAACCAACGTTCAGCCAGCTTGTGAACCCCCATGGCGGTGAATGATCAGCTCATCAACGCTGGATTCCCCAGGAGCAGATTAACAACCCATGATGTTACTATCGGCGCTATGCTACCTGTTGGAATTCATTTCAATACTTTGGGACTGTATGTGGTTATGTGGGGGAAGACGCAGCGACCACCGGTTGGATTTACCAACCTTGGACCTACTTGAAAGGGAGTGATGTTTCTGCTACTAGGTGGGACTTAACCATAAGTTTAAAAAACAGACATTGCGTGTCTCTTAATGCCTTGTTTCTGTAACATTAGGGAGAATTGTTGTAAGGCTGGAGAAGTTACTATGTCTGCATTATGCCAGTTAAAATTTGGGGTTTCTCAATTACCTGCTTTGTTTAGAGTGTTACACATCTCTTCATCGGTACATATACCATTGTTTACCCATCTATGGAGGAGACATTCACATTAATTAATGCTGTTGCGGTTCATTGTGCTGTACACTTGCGACATAACACCAGCAGCAGGAGTTGTGCATGTTCACAAACTGTCCTCTTGTTTTTAGTAAGAAGCTCTCTGGTTTTATCATTCTGAAATAATTATAGACTATTTGGACTTATGATGGGTGCAAAACTAATCTAGAGGTAGCCAAGATTAAACATTAAATGGCTGGAAACAAGCAAAATGAGCAGCCATGGGCACTTTAATGAAAATTTATGCCACTTTACAACCTGAGTCTTATTGTCCTGGTTTGAAGTAATGTACTGTAACAGTGGGTTACATAACATTTAGTGTATGATTATTGTGAATATTGTGAACTTGAGCACCTTTTCACACCACCAAAACAGCTCTTCAACAGAGTCCAGCAGGGCCAGGAAAATATGATTCTTAGACCAACAACAAAAGACCCTGTTGTGCATCATTTTGGATGATCTATATGGTTTGTAATTTTACTGATTTCTCAGTTTTGTTGAGCAGGTAACTTCTCTCATCTCACTGTATATGAAACAGATTGATGTTCTGTAATGTCAGAAACTCCTAATAAATCATTTGAGTGCTAACTTTTAATGTTCATCTTTGTATAGGGATCCAAATACCTGCCTTAGACAGCTAAGTTAAGGCAGTTTGAAAACTGTCTTAGGCTTTTGAAAAGTTCTTTCCAGCAGAGTGTGATCTGTTATCTCTAAAGTGATCATGGTGAGTACAGTGTTATGTTAACTTATTATATTATTGCACAAAGATATGGCACTAAAACCCAGTTTTTTTTCATATGAGTATGAGAGAAGCAGGAATTCTGATTACAGCACTGCACCTGTGCTCATTATGCCAATTACAACATGCAGCTATCTCTCTGGCACAGGCTTTACTTAAGAGCAAAACATGTTCACCCCCTGCTGTGCCCACAAAGCCCCTGTGCATAGGATATTGGAGTTGCTGAGATTGGCAACTGCTAGTATCAAAAAAGACAGACTGCATCAGTTTTCATCAGGATCATCTCATTCTACAAACAAAAAAGTCCTTAAAAATAAAACAACATCTACACATTATGGCCTTGACCTATTAAGTCCCAACATGTGAGTGGTCTCAGACAGGTCGTGCATTTCCAACTAAACCATAAGCTCAGCAAAATGTAATCGAACAGACACAACTAAGTCACAAGGCTGTCTGTCAGTGTGCAGAAATTAAGCCAGGATCAATCTGACCTTTCACCTGGCATTCAGAGTGTGATACGTGACACAGCTGACACAAGACTGGTCTCAGCATACTGCTCTGTAACTTTGTAGTGACTTTAATTTGAACTGGCTTGTACTGCAACTCACATGCAGGACCCTCTCATAGTCGATTTCCATGTTGTCCAGCTTGTGTTGGAGGTCAGCTATAGTGGCATCCTTCTCCTGTTCCATCTGATCACGGTCTCTTTTCCCTTTCCTCAGCTCCTCCTGACACATGGCTGGGCAGAGAAATGTATACAGACATGCCATCACTTTTCATTTGCAGACTAACTGGCACTTATGTGTCTTTGTTCATTTAAGCATAGTCTAAAATGAGATGTATTCATACCAAGTTCTTCCTTGAGCTGGCTGACGTCCTCCTCCAGCCTTTTCACCTTGTTGGTCAGCTCAGTCTGCATGGTCTTATACTGGCGACTGAGGTCTAGAATGACATTTGTGTCAGCAATGTCAGACTTAGCCCTCATTGCTAATTCACTTTGTAAGGCTAATGCAACAATCAACTTAAGCACCCAGCTAATTAGAGTTTTTTTATTCCTCAGAAATTACCTGAACCTTGGCAAACACACCCCTTGTCCTCACTCCCAAAGGGATCCACACTTATTTCAGGTAATTAAAAGAGACTAATTGTTGATTCATGCCTCGTCCATACAGTACCAGAGTTAATGTCCCTGTGGTCTTGCCTCTCCTGCTGCAGCTTCTGCTCCATGTCTCTCATGCGTCTCCTCAGGTCATTTTTATCAGACTGGACCTTTATTATAGACTCACACTGTAGAGCTGTGGAGATCACACAAATGCATATGTGTGTGTGAATTTATAGACTACCTCCCCAATCCCTTTGTAAAAATGGAACATTCTAAGTAAAATTCCTGCATTCATACCCTGGTTCCAACTTCTCGAAAGAGAGGATTTGCTGTTTTTTTCTACTTTATATCCTTGTATATTTGATATTTTTGAGTTTTAGACTGTTGGTCAAACAAGACAAGTGATTTGAAGCAAACTCAAGAGATCGGAATTTATTAGTTTTCTAAAGTGTAACAGGCAAAATTATTAATCACTTGGAAAAAATAACTTTAGCCCTCATACATGGTAGCCTACATGAGGAACTTCCAACTTTAATAGGAGGTTACTTATTTCCTGTAACAAAAGATCATGGAAGTGATTTAAGCCCAACATTTAAGTGCATTAATGTGCTTTTACTTTATTTGAGTTTTTAATTTTATGCTAATCGCGCTGCCCCACTACAGTTCAGAGCCAAATATTGTATTTTTTACTCCACTGCAATTTATTTGATATACATTTACACATTTTCTGTTTTAAATATTTCATTTAAAAACATGTCCATAATACAACACATTTCTTAAGAATAAACCAGTGGTTATCATCCTTTTTAGTTTGTAACCCCTTATAATAAAACAATGTGTAGTTGTGTCTCCAGTTTCAGATAAGTTAGCAGTCAACTGAGACATTCCTTCTCTAAATACCTTTTAGTAACTTCACTAAACTTTTTTTTCCCACTTTCTTCTGTTATATGTTAATTCACCATGACACTTTTTCTCTGAGCCTTTGGAGGGGCCTGACCTCTAGGTTGAGAACCACTGTGCTAAATGAACTATAAATGAAAATGAGCTCCCCCTCAAGCAGCTGCAATAGTAAAGTACTGCACAGACACTGAAGGACCTGTATTATTATTTAATGTTAAGATATGTATTATACTTTATTAGTCACATGGGCTGAGTTTCTGTAAAACCAGTATTGCTACATTTAAATCTTTAAATACATTTTGCTGATTCATCTTTACTTTTACTTAAGAAGAATTTTGAATGCAAGACTTTTACTTGTAGAGAGTGCTTTTGCATGGTTTTAGACTATTAGTAAGCTGCTTTTACTTGAGCAAAAGATCACTTATAGTAGATAGTACTTCTGCACCTGCAAAACAGAGGTTTGGCCTATATATAAAGGGAAGCACATCCCATATTACTGATGTGTAGAGTAACTCAAAAATCCTGCTCACCAATGTGATCCTGTAGGACGGCTATATCCAGAATACTGCGCTTATATGTTGCATCCAAGTCATTTTCACCTGCAACCCACCAAGCACAAAACACTTGTTAATAAAAAATAATGTTTCTAATACAAAAGCACAACTCCGAGACACAAAGACATAAAAACTGAATAATCTCATGAGCAAAGTTACTTTTTTCTGGATTCTTTTTTGCAGTCTTTTTCTTTGGAGCCATGTTTGCTCTCTGTCAGCCTGTTCAGTCCTTAGAGCATGTACACACACTAGCTACATATAGGGATGAGTCTGTGTGGCTGGGCACTGGTTGCTGAGTGAGTTGCCATAGCACTTACTGTCCAGCGTGAATGATAGTTGACTGACTTTATTAGCAGCCAATCACAACTTTTTAGCTCAATGCACATGGGCCATGTAATTAGATCTTTACTTTAGTGAGACAAGTCAAAGCGGCCTTTGTTGTCCGGGGTGATCAGGGCAGGGAGGGGAGAATTCAAGGCTGCATTCAGCATCTCTTCAACGTTTTATGAATGCTGCACAGGCTGAGGCGCGCACCCGACTACATTCATGGGTCGTGAACGCGCAGAGGGAAGGCGTGGACTTTGGGTTTGGGGGGGCCGAACGGAAGGAGACGTACAGGAAAGGGCCACACACACGTCACGGGGGAAACAGAAAAATACTGGGCAATGTTTAATTCCCACGATTATTTATTCACCCCTGTTTCCGTGGATATCCGTGAAGATTTAACAGTTTTCAGCGCAATGTCCTGTCGTTAGTTATCGGTGAGTGCTCTTTGTCGTAACCTCACAGCCAGCAGGGGACGGCGGACACTGTCACACTGAACTTCCCGTCAAAAGGCAGCACAGGCGAAAAGAGCTGCTTCTGCCGACAAAAAGGGGAACGACGTCCGGGGTTGTCAAGTGGAGAGGACATACTCAGTTCCACAAGGCGTCTGGGCAGAGAAACGGTGCCATTGTGCTCCTGCCAGCTGAGTGTGAGTAGAGACGGGTTTGGTGCTCTGCTGATTAGCCTGCGTGGGTTCCTGCAGAGAGACAGGGAGCAGCGCAGCTACTAGCACAGGGTGTGAGTGACTGAGGGGTTTGTTCTAGGCACAACCGGGACATTTATCCAACAAATAGATGCTAGGTTTACTCATGGAATCCTTTATCCGATAGTTATCCCTCCCCTCCCCTCCCTGTACCCCCCATCGGACCCTGGCTCGGATTCGCCACTCGGTCGCTGTCCTCACCGGGGGGTTCCGGTTCACCATCGCCCGGTGCAGCTAACTCCAGGCGGCGGTTCGGTCCCCCTGACCCCTGCCTTGCCTTGTTCGTCTGCCGCTCTGGCCGACCCTAGCCGAGCCCGAACATGGCAGGGAACCTGAAGAAAGGAGGGGGGCTAATCGGAATGATGAAGGATGCCTTCCAGCCTCACCATCACCACCTCCACTCCCATCACCAGCCAGGGACCGTGGACAAAAAGATGGTGGAGAAATGCTGGAAACTAATGGACAAGGTTCGTAATTATCTACATTAACTAGCTGTTAATGTTAGCTATCGCGTTGGATGCTTAGGGCGACTGCTAGCTAACAGCAGCTAACTAGCGATAAGCTAGCTAATCTTCCCCTTAGGCAGGTCTGGCGTTGCTAATGTTAAGTTAGCTATTCAACTGGGAGAAGACATGGTTAGCTAATTTGTCTACCTTAACTGTATTATTTTATACCTTATGTGCCAGGCTGCCTGGCCCCACTTTAAAAGAGACTTTAAAGTTAGCCCACGGACAGAGCAGGGGTTTCTTTAATACATCCGTTTGGTGTTGCTAGGTGCTATTACCACCCTCTGCTAATTAACGTGAGTTGTCATACCGTGGCACATCTAACTTGTTTGACAACATCTAAATACTAAGGTATCATAAACATTAGAAGCAACAACAGAAGCTAGGGTGGATGTAACAACATGCCATAGTTATATGAATGTAATCTAGATATCTTAATGGCAGTGTACTGAAATTCTGCTGCTAGCACAATAAGTCTCCTGTAGTTGCATTGCTGCTGAAATGCCTACAGCCAAATGTGTGTCAAACCCTGGGAACTATAACAGAGCACTTAGAAAAATAAATGTGTCCATATAACTAGACCATTTATGCTCTTTCACAGCTTAACTTTTCAGAAAAAGTGTGGCTGTTTGACCCCCAGTTTCCTGTGAGATTCACGTAGCAGTATTAGAGTGAATAGGAAGAAAAGACACTTTTGTCTCTCCTTCCTCTTCGAGACCTTAGTTTAGACCTCTGATACTAAGAGACTGAGCCTTCATAGAAAGCTATTATTAAGAAACCACAGACCAGTTTACTTTTCTCCTATAAGCATCTGTTGTAGATTGTCTGCTCGGATGATTCTCCACTTTTTTTTCTTTCCACCCAGCACTAATAAGAAGTAATAGAGCAACATCAGGATTTTTATTTTTATTTTTGTTGTCTGTTAATGTTCACTGCTCTACCAGGAAGTTTTTGTTTCCATCTGCACACCCTCAAGTTCAATCATAGATAACAGACAACTGGCCTTAGACAATTTAAACAACCTCCACAGCCAGGTTATTGGAATAATTTACCACATTAATTTGGCCCAGAGAGCAGCCAAGTGAAACACCAGAGTGTCTTACCTTTTTGACAGGGATATAAGGGTAAAAGTATTAAAAATGGCAGCAGAAATAGTGTTCAAAGCTGTCTAAAGGAAAAACCACAGCCCAGCATACAGTATACCATAGACAAGCACCTGCAGAATAATAATGCAGCTTCTCTTTAAGAACACACCCTGCACTGGAATAAGTTAAATTTTATTAGAAGCTTGAGGCTAATTTTCTACTTCAGAGTTGTCTACATTAACTTTTCTTAGTGTTCAGTTTAACAAACCTTAATTAGTTTGTTTTTCAGTTAAACACTATGTGTGATGACCTAACCAAAGGGGTGTTAGCTTAGCTACCCCGCATCATGTTGAAACTTGAATTTTAAGTTTAAGCATAAGCAAATCAAACCATTAGATGTTGCATTACTCTCTCTGCTGTTGCATTGCCACATGCCTCAGCCAAGTTGTATGTGGAAAATTGTCACCACAATCCATACTAGGACATATTGATAATGATTAGTTTGCTTATTTAACCAGAACCTTTGGTGGATAATTACTAGTGAATTTTAGATTATATGCTACTCAAAGATGATATTAATAACATGATATCATTGTTGTGCTGTAGTACAGCTTGGTGACATGCATACTGGTTTTGGGTTTGTCTGACATAGCTTGGTGGCTGCTATGTCAAAACCAGCTTGAATCTGTTAGGTCTTCTTTGAGTTTAGACACCAAATACAACTATGAAAGTAGTTTCATGCAGTTGTACTATTTATAGAAGATAAGATAAGTCAGTTGCATAACATAGTTTGTCAGCAGACAGTTTTGTAAAAAATTATCCATATTGTGAAATCAAAAATTTTCAGGAATTGAACAAAAAGTTGTTTCTCTTCGATTTGCTTGGCAGAGGGTGAACTATGTTTTCTAGGAATAGTCTCTGAGCTCTGCAGAAATGCAGAAATGCAAAATTGTCCATGTAAAACTAAAACCTAACTAAAGTTCAACCAGGGCCAGTTTTTCTTAAGCTGGTTAACCTATAAACAACTGGAACGTGATGTAGAAGAACTATCAGGTCGGCATAGAATCGGTCAAGAAGGACTGAGCCGCATAGAGATTTTGGCTAAGTCTGACACATTTATATTATTTCATTTTCATTGTCTTTGCTAAATAAAATTAGGGGTGCTCCGATTGATCGGTCGCCGATCATAATCGGCCGATAATTGCTTTGGGAAGTTTGATCGGCTGTCTCTATAATGGCCGATATAGAAAAGCCGATCAGATGAAGCAAAACTCGCGAGACAAGTTTTTTGCGCACTGCTAAAATGGCTTATCCAGTATGGCAATTCTATGTGGTGTGTGTGAAAAAGACCCAACATTAGCAATTTGCAACCTGTGTAACAAGCCAATTCCACGAGGCGGAAAGCACCTAAAGCATTTTAACACCACGAACCTCATCAGACATTTAAAGGTTAGTCACATAAAGGAACATGAGCAGTTTTCAAAGTTAAGCGCTAAGAGAGAGCGGGAGAGTTCAGCAACTCGTGCGACAGTCACTCAGCTGTCAGTAACAGAGACGTTTCAAAGACAGCAACTCTACTGCAAGGACAGTAAGAAGCATAAAGAAATATCAAACAAAATAATGACTTGCTTCACCATCATGAACAGAAATAATCCCCTCTTGTTTCTACTTCTCCACTGAGTTTACCTCTAAGGGCCTACTTTCAGTAGTTGCTGCTAAACATTTCAACACTTGATTATGTCTCCAGCTGTATTGTCCTTGAGCCAGGCTTGTTTTACAGCCTGAGAGGATGTGCTGAAGTGATGCTACGCCTGAACACGAGGGACATGTCAGGTCCTCACCTATCCATCTATTTTGTGGGGAGATGGAAACAGATCATAAGTTGCACCTAGAATGAATCTAATTCTTCTTGTCTCCATGTCCCACATTTCCCTCCAACTAAGTTTCTTCATTTCTATATCTTCCCATCTCATCCACTGTCTCTGGCCTGGGAGACTGACTTTGCACATCCACCTGCCTCCTAATCTCCTAAATAACATCCTTTTGTCAGCTGCTGCTGCTTTGCTCCGAGAAGGTTGCGATGTGCTTAAACCAAAACCACCACCTACATGCTGTACCTGCCCTACAATATGCCTATATTTAAGAGCTGCCTGAGCTGGCAACACTGCCTCCTTCAGGTTCCACTTCCTCCATGCTGAGATAGCTGGTGCTGCACTCTGCACCGCTACATCATTGGATTCTCACAGCGTTATCTCCAGTCTAGCTTTAGCACATTTAAACTCCTGTTAAACTGGTTATAGGAAGCCACAGAATCCCATTTTCGTACAAGGCCACACTGCTGAGGCAGCACAGAGCTCCCAGCTACTTCCTAATGTATGTGCTAAACATTCTCTACCTTAGAAATTGGTACATCATACACTGTCAGTGGCCATAACAATTGTGGCAAAAGACCAAACTGCAGGCACCACAGTTTGAGTTTGCCTGGGAGGCCTGATGCCATTATGCTCTTAATCCCATCAACTGCCTGCTGTCTCAAGATCCGTAATCTGCTTTTTATCACTAAGAGCCGCATCATACCACCTGCCTAAACTTTTGAGTGGCTTCTCTAACACTGTTGGAATCAGCTCATCATTTATACAAATCCTTTTAACCCGACAGCACGCCTTTCACTATTGAAATGCTCCTTGATTTCTCTGACTTCACCTTCATTCTAGCCCACTTTAAGTTAGCATTCATCTTGCCCAATAGACTTTTGGTACATGGTGGTGATAGTGGTGATAGTCGTCAAGTCATCCATATACGCTCTCATGGGTGGAAACTGTTCCCTGTGATAGTCGTCAAGTCATCCATGTACGTTCTCATGGGTGGAAACTGTTCCCCTGGCGGAAGCCTGGCTCCACCTGCAACCCATCTAGATGCCCTAATAATAACCCCCATTGCCTTGGTGAACACTAGTGGTGAGACTTTGCATCCTGCCGTGATGCCTATCTCCAGGTTGCTGCCAAGCTGTAGCATACTCTGCTGTTGTGAAACTTTTCTGGATGTCCTGAAAATATTCTCTCACTAGACCTTTAACTAAGTCTGGTACTTTAAAATAAGCTAGTGTTTCCCACAGTAGGCCATGTAGTACAGAACCAAAGGCATTAGCTAGATCTAAGAACACCTCATGCATATCTCTTTTCCCCTCTTTGCTGACTGAATTTTATGTGTGCTCCAAGCATCCAGAAAAGCCTGGTATTCCAGCTTTCTGCACTGAGGCGTTAATGAGCTTATTCCTTTCTAGGTAGCTTTACAACCTTTGGGCCACTTCAGTGAAGAAAATCTTGCCTTCTTAATGTAGAAGGCAAGATTGAAATGAATGTAATTGATATGGAATTAATTGATGTGGACATGAGGTAAATGTAGTGAAATGGTACCGCTTGTGATTTATTTACACAGTCAGTATGACTTTTTATTATTTACACACTAATGCTAAGAACATTCCACATGCTGTGAAATCAGACTGCTTGAAATATCCTTACCGTCAAGTGTGACCTCATTCTTTTTGAGAGGCATTTGATACAGTGATGATGAACCTACTGGTCTCAGTACAGTAACAAACTGGGATCAAATATCCTTAACATTTTTCACTCTCAGGAGATGATGGTGATGATGCGTGGCTTCTTTGGCCTCTGGTTTTGTGAGGTATCTCCTTATGTCATATACCTTAAATGTTAACAGGAGTGGTATACTAAATGGTAATGTTGGCCAATGTTATTTTAGTGATTGCGGTTTTATTTTCTAGATTTATTGGTTAACTGTTTGGTTTATAAAGGATCAGAAAATGGTGAAAAATGCCAAATCAAAAATGCCATAATTTTGTAGGGGTTAAGCTGATGTCATCAGCTGATGTTGCTCAAGCAGTCCTTTCACATCTGAAGACATTCAGTTTATTAGTAGACAATTATTTGAGCTGGTCTCCAAAAGAAGGGGCCATGTGAATTTGTTCTGTCATCTTTGCAGTTAATAGCCTAGCTCTGCTTACATTAGAACGCGAGACAATGGATTTTTTTAATAAGAGTGTAGTTTTGTGCCTCTGCGATCACACGAGAAAGTTAAACATGAATCCAGTGGTAAAATGACAGCAGCCATCTCCATACGGAGCATAATGACAGAGTGTTCTAGGCTGCCCGCCAGCGCCTTTTGTAATGGTCAGTGAAGTGACTCAGACACAGTGCAGCAGCACAGTGACATGAGTGAGGAAAGACTGAACATTACTGAGCATGAAACATGCATTTGCACAGTATGGTGAACATTTGCCTCAGACATGTAGATTATTTTGTATGTTTTAAGAGTTTTTTTAGTCTTTTGTACTTGGGGAAAAAAAAGTAAAGGTTTAAGTCATGATGTGTCCCTGTAGCTCAAGCTTGTATCCACATTGTCTGACAGTCAACACTTCAGCTGTTCAAATTTGCAAGGCACTGATACTCAAATGCTGAGTAAAGAGAATGTCTTTTTAAGGCAGAAATAGTATAGAATGGGGAAGGATCAGCATGTCAGCAGCTTCTCTAAACATCCTGAAGGTAAGTGGAGAATCAGACAGCAGAGTCACGTATGATACCAGCTTTCCTGTGTGTGCCGTACTTCTGTGTGGTAAATGAATAAGAAATGGAGAACATTCACTTCCATTACAAACAAAGTGCATTGTTGAATGCAGGTGTTCCTTTGGCCTGTTCCACCTTCATCAGTTTTGAGTAAATACAAGGGGAGGTAGGGTGACAGTCATGAAATGACTCAAAATGCCATCAGGGATTACCCATTGTATTTCATTATGTGTTGTATAGACCACGACAGGGCTTTCGAATGCCTTTTCTTTCAGTCCTCAACTTTGTTGGCATTTTCTGTTCTGGATGTCTCCTATTTGGGCTCACTGACAATATTCTGCACAAAAGGAAAGTGCCTTAATACACAAAAGAGCTACAATATAGCATAAACAATTTTGTTTTACTGGTGTATGGAACTAAAATGCAGCGCCTTTGAGCATTCTCTCTCTAACACATCTTCTGTCTTGTTTTTGTCTCATCTGCCCTCCTTTTTGTACCCACCTCTTGTCTCTAACTGCCTCGTCTTCCCCCTCACATCCTCCCTTTCTGCAGGTGGTGCGCCTGTGCCAAAACCCCAAACTGGCTCTGAAGAACAGCCCCCCTTACATCCTAGATCTGCTGCCAGACTCCTACCAGCACCTGCGCACCATCTTGTCTCGCTATGAGGGCAAAATGGAAACCCTGGGGGACAACGAGTACTTCCGGGTCTTCATGGAAAACTTGACCAAAAAGACCAAGCAGACCATCAGCTTGTTCAAAGAGGGCAAGGAGCGCATGTATGAGGAAAACTCGCAGCCCAGGTGAATGAAGGGGATAAAAATATGGCACCTAGCTTAGTATTAATTGAGTGAATATGATTTTAAAGGTGAATTGAGTGAGAATGACACCACTTGGTTTCAGCCTGTTTTGTCAATCCGTTTTAACGATGTTCTTTAATGAACTCCTCTGAAATTGATGAGTCTGAGGTGGGAAGTCTTCATCATACATCAGTTCATTCTGAAAAATTGACTCCACAGGCACAGAGTGAACAAATCCACCCATAGCCAACCCCCAGGGTGGCTGTCGCTCAAGATGTATCAAAACAAGAGGAGAAAGAGGTTGTGGTTTGAGCATGTGAGCATCTGTGGTCAGAATGGCGCTTAATCTACAGCTGCCTGCCTGTCAGTTTGTTTTTGAGCCTCCCTATCACTACCATCTACTCTACCCTTTTCTTCTCATGTAGGTGTCTCACTGCAATGCTTTTTCTGAACTCGCATCCTCTTTAACTTTCTTTCTTTCCCCTTAAATTCAGTAATATTTCTCTGACCCCTGGAAAACACATGTACAGTTTGTTTTAAAAATAAGATGTCGGCCTGTTTTGATGTGTGGACAGGCTCGTGGAAGTAAAATTAATAAGCACCAAATAAGAAAGGCCATCATTTGAAGACACTACCGTAGACCTCAAGATGTAGCAGATCTTTTGAAGTGTTAATGAGTAAGCTCTCTCAGGTGCAGAGCAGCTGCCGGATGGAGCTGTTCTTACCTCTGTATCACTCCAGATGCCTGTTGGTTCACTGCATGCTCTGGGCAAAATGCTGTCAGACATTGTTAGAATAGACATCATATACAGCCTGTAATTAAATGGTGTGATGGCCTTCATTAGGCTTCTCTAGGGAGAGTTTCATACAAGATGTGAGCCAGTATCATATTTGATCTTAGTAAGGGCGTTCTCCAGAACTGCCTCTGGCTCTGTTGTTTCTCATCCTGGCAGTGAGCAAGATGATTTGCAAAAGATTTTTAAAAACCCTTCTGTGTCTGGATTGGAGTTTTAGCACATTTGCAATGTTAAATAGAGTTTTCATCAACATTCTTAGGAAACCTGATCAAAAGCAACTTACACAGCTTAGTGGATTGCTGGGTTCCTCTGATGTAAATTCTGTGTTGCCAGGGTTTAGTGCTGCAGAACAATGAGTGTGCTGATTGATATAACCAGAGGAGACAAAAATGCAATTACCTTTCATTTACAATCTTACAGAATATAGCGTCATAGTAGTGAGTCCCAAAACCCGGAAGTCAGCATTACTGCACCTCCTGTTGCCTTGCCCTGAAGTCAGTGGGTTTTTTTTTTATGTTTTTTTTTTTTATTTAGACCCACAAAATACGGCCTGTAGTTAATACACAGCCAGTACGTTTTCATGTTTTACTCTGAAATATGTCAGTAAAAACCCCACTGGTGATTTTTAAAGGTTTGATGTGTCTTTTTAAAAAGGCAGTTCCTAACAAGTGGCTAAATGAGACTACAGAGGCTGTCTGGGATTGAAATGTCATCATGCTGAACACGAAGACTCATCTACTCACTAGTCCACCTTTACGGAGTAGTTGTGTTTAGTTAATTTTATCTAACAGATACATCCTCATCTTGTTGCTCAGTTCCTCAGTGAAATTGTTCTTTCTCTGGTATAATGCCAGTAATCTTGCAGACAGAAAAACCGCATGAAGGCAAACAAGAGAAGAGGAAGCTTCTATTTTCGACCACTTGTGTATTTGCAATCAGCAGATAGTCATCTAAAAATTCAATTTCATCATTGCTTCATTGCACCAAGAGGCTGTGCAGAAAGAAACTCCTGTTTAAGTCAGAGGAAACACACACACACACGCACATTAGCCAGGCGTTACACACAAAGACTGCTATTGTCTGTGCAGAGAAGGCAGTGGCAGTGACACTAACCAATGGGTTAGTGCTATAGAATCAGCCAATGATGTTGTGCCTCTGGAAAGACTAGTATGTGATTAAGCTGCAGCTGAGCTCGGCACATGGTTTAGACTGTAAGATTGTACTGCAAGGAGATGACTGGAGATAAAGGTGATCTTGCTGCCTGAATGCAGGAAGAATATTTTGTTAGCACGGTGCTTTCACTGTCCTCTTCAATGACTACAACACTGACACTTGAGTTCCACCACTGTGACTTCAATCAACATCAGTACTTGATAGTTACTGACAGGATTAGGACTCTACCATGTGTTAATGGCTACTTTCAAGTCAGAGTGAAGGATCTGAGTGTGTCATAAGAGCCCTAAGTGTAGTGTGGGTGGATATGCTGTGTTGTGATGCCCTTCACACTTTTCCACAGTGCTTGCCCCAAAGATTTAGATCCTCTGTTGATCTAGTTCGCCTGCTCTCTATATGAACTACACAGATTGTTTAGCTTTGGAGATTAAATCTAGTTGAAATTGTGCACTATGTGCCTGTGCTGGTTTCTGTTGAGCAACAGTCTGATAGGCTTGCTCTAGACTTAATAGCTGGCTCTTCAGTTTTTAACTACTGACAAGCAGAAGAATCAACACACAGGCAGCACTTCCTCCTTGTTTGCTTCACTTACTTCCTGTTCTGGCTTTACCCAGCATAGCCGAGACATTTTCTGACCTCCGAGTTGATGAAAATCACAAGGAAATGAGATTTTAAACACATCACCCAGGTGTGATTTTCTTCCTTTGCCAATTCTTAAAAAAACAGTAACTAGAAGAATAGCATGTTATAATCCCAACAAGATTAACTTGTAACATTTCATTCATTTTTGTTAGGCCAAAAATAGAGCTGAAGTAGTCAGTAAAATGATCAACATAGAACTTTCTAAAATAACTCTTTTATTCAAGATATTTCTGCTTTTCTCTATATTGTAAGCTAAATAACATCTTCACCTTGGATGATGGACATTTTTCACAGTTTTCTGACTTTTTACAGCTAGTGGCAGCCTATAGAGTGCAGTAGGAATGACATATTTTTGTAGGCCATCCCAGAAGTTTATATCACCCTGATTTCCTCAACAAAAAGCCAGTGGGATTTTTTTCATAGGCTTTGAGATTATTGGAGAAAATAAGCTCTGTGACAAATGATAGTGACCATGGCTGTGTTAGTTAGAATAGTTTGCAAGAGTTTAAACATAGTGAGGCTGTAAAGGTGGACTAATGAGGGGATCAGAGTCCAACTTCAGCGTGATGATGTTTAATATCCCAGTGTAGTCTCATTTAGACACTTGTTAGCAACTGCCTTTTTTAAGACATGTAAAAGCATTAAAAATCATGAGCGGTGTATTAGCTGACGTATTTTGTTTTATAGAACAAAACATGAAAATGCACTGGCCTTCTGTTAACAAGAGACTTTATTTCACGTGTCTAACCTAAAACCCATTCAAAAACTCATCTGACTTCAGGGAGAGGAAACCAAAAGTACAAAAATGCTGACTCAATTCCAGGTTTTAGGACTAATTTCCGTGGCACTCTATCAAGAGAACTGTTTTAGATTTCGGATATGACATTTGTGGACTGAAGCCAAAAAATATTTTGATTATCTAAAAGTATTTAAAAAAATATTTTTAATTAATTGTTTTAATGAAAATGTAGTTTGTATGGCGTGAAATAGTGACGATTGCCAGTCACTTTTCCCAGAGTCCAGGGTGACACAATCGATACGTAGTCTACTATGGTAAACAGTTTTGCTTCAACAAGGAATGAAAAAATTAACTATCAAAACTGTTGCAGTTAAATTTTTGATCCACTCATCATTTCACAGTGCATTTGCACAAACCAAATGCTGGCAGCCTTTTAGCTGTAGCTGTTTCACTTGTCAGTTCTTTAGCCACTTAGTAGGAAAGTGTGATTGCTCAGTGCAACAGTTATTTTACTTGTGCATCAAGCCACCAGTGAGTTGTAACTCATTTGTCGATGAAAATGTTTGGCTAATTGCTCTGTGTTGAAAAAGGAGTGTGTTGTCCTTCTGCGCTTCAATACAGCAGCTTTGTCTGTAGCTGGTGTGTTAATTTAATTATGGTCAGATAGGAAATCTGTATATTAAAGATTACACACTCTCCAGTCCTTGAGTAGGGAAGGGTGGATCAGTGTGTCCTCAGAAACTCCCTTTAACCCCCCCTCCTCCATAGGTCTCACCGGATACTGCTTTGACCTCTCTGCGAGAGCCTGATCATCTTCCTGGACTAAGCTACCATTGTATCCTGACCACTGTTGATAGGTCTAGCTGGTCACAGGAAGTGGTGGGCTTATAGGCTGCAGGATGCAAATGTGCCATGGGACAGCCTATACTGCAGAAAGAGAGACACCTGGAGACTAATGATAGATCATAAATATTGTTTGTAGTATGTGTGTTTATCTCTTATGGTCCAGTTTGTTTTGTGTCTTATCTTTAGATACCTAATCTGTGGCTGCTGAAACTCATAATGGTTGTTTTAAGTATGCTTCACTGAGTAGTGTTAACATTTTCGCCCCCTGAATTTTTTTTGTTTGGGATAGGTCAGCTGATAAAAATCCAACTCTAAATTCATTTTTAGAATTCCTTAACATCTAATTTCTCAGTTACTATGATATGTTGAACTTGAGATTTTGTTTTTAATATTTGTGGATGGTATTATGCACAACTTTGTCACAAGGCTGGTTTTATGTCACAGAAGAGGGAACGTTTCCTGTTGGGCTATATTTGAACTTTGCAGGAGCCATTATTAATGTGGTTAAAAAAAGGTTGCCGTGCATGCACCTGCTCACATGCAGAGTTGAAACAGTTAATGAATTGAAAAAAAAAAGTTTTTTGAATGGGTTTGCAAGCATAAATGACAAAAGATCCCTAGATTTGCAGCTGTGAATATTTGCTGTTTTTTTCTGTTTTATGTCATTGTGAACTGGGAAATTGTGATAGATGTTTTCATGACTTTCTGACATGTTAGACTAAACAGTTAACAGACCAATCAAGGTATTAATCACCTGAATACTTGACAATGACAGTAATCGTTAGTTGCAACCCTACAGACTTGGT